CGGGGGAGGGAGACACGCTGTGACGGCTGCATCCTCCCTGCGGCACAACTCCTGAGTCGCGGCCTCTGCTGCCTGGCGGGTTCGTGCTGCCAGGAGTAAAAATAGCCCATTTTGGGGGGGAGGTTGGGGGAGGGGGTTCACGCTGGGTCAGCGCTGCCCGTCCCCGCTGGGGGCTGCGGGTCTGTCCCTGACACGCATTGTGTCGTGCTCGGCAAGGGGCAACGTGGGGTGATGCCCACGGCCAGGTGGGGCTGGGGGAGTGGACACGCCGGGATGGGGGCCCTTGGAGTGTATCCAGACCCCCCCCTCCCCTTTCCTCCCGAAACTCAGATGCAGTGGTGGTCAGAGTGAGCCCGGCTCTGCCTCAGGCTCTCAGCTTTGGACATCAGCTTTGATGGAACGCACCTGCAGCCAGGCTCCTTCTGGAAGCCTCCCTGGGGTCCCCATGCCTGCTCTGCACCCACAGCCACCTCTGGGCAGTTGGGTTGGGGCCGGGCAAGCCTGCGTAGCACCCCGAGGGTCCCCCAACCCGAACCTCACTTCACCCCCTGCCTGTGGATGGCTACCAGAGCGTTGCTGCTGCCCTGGGAGGTTTGGGGACCCCCATGTCCCCGAAGCCTGCTTCCTTCACTGTCCTGTGGGGCACGGTGACAGCGCCACTCGGTTCCCAAAGCACTGGCGCTTTCTGGGGGTCTCCTGCTGTCCCAGCTCTTGGTGGTGGCCCCACCGTGTCTTCCAGCTTCCTTATCCTCTGCCCCTCGTGGCTCTGACCCACAGGGCCGGCTGTCCCCAGGCCCTCGCTGTCATCGGCGCCTTGCCGGCCTGAGGGATGCTGCGTGCCCTGCTGGGGTCAGCATCCCCCCCCCCGGGAGGTGGTGGGAGCAGAGGGCGGGCTCCTGTGTGGCCACACCCCCCGAAGCCCATTGGCTGAACGGCGGGGCCGTGCCCCTCCAGCCCCATTGATGCAGGTGGGGTGGCCACGCCCCCTGCAGCTCATTGGTTCGTGGCCCAGCCTCCTCTTCCCAGCCCCATTGAGAGGGCGGTGGGGCCTTTTTTCTCTCAATGGGCTGGGCGGCCTGGGGGGGGGCCGCGGTGGGGACAGGGGCGTCCCTGCGGCCTGGGGACCTTGGCTTGTCGGCGGGGGGCTGTGGGTCCGTGCTGGGGATCCTCCAACCCTATGAGACTCTGTGGTCACAGATAGGGCTGAGATGTGGCCCCCTCGACACCCTGCTGGGATGGAGGTGCCCCACCACGCACACTTTGCTTCTCCGAATGGAGGGGATGTGGGGAGGGCTCTGGCGCTGCCGTGTCCCTCCATCCCCCACCTTTCAAATCCCAATTCCTACGTGCCTCCATAGAATTTATTCTCCCATTTCCCATACCCTTCAGATCCTATCTGCTCACGTTCCCCTCACCTGTGGGTGCCTGACCCTGTGCTGGGCTCTCACTATGCTCACGTGCCCGCAGCCTTGCTGTGGGGCAGAGGTGCCCCCAAATCCCCCAGTTTCCATCCAAACGCTGCACGCCGAGCCCCACGCTGGATGTGCAGACCCCAGGGTGAGGTGGGACGCGAGGACATCCCCACCTTAACACGGGCACTGTTGTGTCTGGATCCCCAGGTGTGGGCCACGCGGATGGGTAGCGCTGCTGCCCGGCCTCCCGCATCCCACCGCGGCCCCCAGGCGTGAGGGCTCAGTCCCGACTCAGAGACCCCCCCCTCCCTCTCAAAAGCCCCACGCCGCCGTCCCATCCCAACGTCACCATGGACGAGAGCTTCCGAGACCGGACGGCGTTCATCCGCGGCGCCAAAGACATCGCCAAGGAGGTGAAGAAACATGCGGCCAAGAAGGTGAGCAAAGGCATGGACCGCGTGCAGGACGAGTACACCAAGCGCTCCTACAGCCGCTTCGAGGAGGAGGACGACGACGAGGATTACGTGCCGCAGGACGGCTACTACCGGGGTGGGGAGGGGGCGGCCGAGGAGGAGGGGGCTTCCAGCGATGCCACCGAAGGACACGACGAGGAGGATGAGATCTACGAGGGCGAGTACCAGGGCATCCCGAGGCAGGACTCGCTGAAGGGTGGCGAGAGGCTGGGGAGCGAGGTGACCCCCGGGGCCTTCGATGACAGCGAGGGGCAGCGGCGCAAGGACAAGGAGGAGCTGGCGCAGCAGTACGAGCTCATCCTGCAGGAGTGCGGCCATGGGCGCTTCCAGTGGAGCCTCTACTTCGTGCTGGGACTGGCGCTGATGGCCGACGGCGTGGAGGTGTTCGTGGTGGGCTTCGTGCTGCCCAGCGCCGAGAAGGACATGTGCCTCTCCGACTCCAACAAGGGCATGCTGGGTGAGCAGGGAGAGGGCAGGGGATGGGGTGGGGTGGAGGAGGAGCGGCTCCCCCTGGGTGCGGGGAGGTGGGCTGAGGTTTGTGGGGGAAATGTGGGCTGTGGGAGTCAAGCAGGTGGAGGTATGGAGGGACAGGTGGGATGTAGGGGGCAGGGGAAGATGGAGGAGGGGGGGATGAAGTGTGGAGGGACACAGGCGTGGGGAGATGGAGTGGGAGGGGGACATGCGGGATAAGGGGGACAGGAGCAGACAGAGCGTGGGGACATGAGAAGATAGGGGGGGATTTGTGAGGTATGGGGGACACGGACAAGTGGGGAGTGCAGGGACAGCGCTGCAGGGAATGGGAACAGGAGGGATATGGGGAGACCCCAAAAGGACGCGTGGGATGTGGGGGGACGGGAGAAGACGTGGTGTTAGGAACTCAGGTGTGAGGACGTGGGTGGGTGGGGTATGGAGGGGGACATCTATGGGGCCGGGAGCAGGTGGGGCAATATTGAGGGACAGCAGTGAGGGGAGCATGTGGGGAATGGGGCCATGAGAAGATAAGATACAGAGGGACGTACAGGATATGGGGAACAGGAGCTGGTGGGGTGTGGAGGGACGCAGGCATGGGGGCACGTGAGGAAACTGGGGGAGATGGAAGGACACGAGGTTGGGGGGGATATGAGCAGATAGGGAACACTGTGGGCCATGGCATAGGGGGACGCGGGAGTGTGTGCGCAGACAGGGGGGTGAAGAGGGGCACAGGGCTGTGGGGCACAACGGGTGCGCGCACATGGAGCTGTGGGAGCGGGTGGGGGTGTAGGGGGGCATGGGATGGGGGGGGAGCATCACGAGATGGGGGAACGTGAGAAGCTATGGGGGAATATAAGGATCTGGGGGGCACAGATGGAAGGGAGCACCAGGAGGGGACCAGGAGTGACAGAGGGCAGTGACGGGAACCCCCAACCCTCCCTGGCCCCCCTCCAATGGGTTGTGGGGGGTCTCAGTGCAGCAGCTGATGGGCTGAGCACCGCAGCACAGCCCCGCAGTGCCTCGTGCCCCCCCCGGCCCCGCAGCCCCCGGCTTATCTCTGTGCTGCAGCCCAGCTGCTGCCCGCTGCTGATAAGGGGATGCGGCTCCGGGGGGGGGAGGCTGCAGGGACGGCATTGGCTGCACTGCAGTGCACTCCCCTCTTCTATGGGGTGCCTCACCCCCATCCCAAATTTGAACCCACCGCACCCCAAGGCCTGGCAAATCAGGAAAGGGGTGGGGATGGATGTGGTCAGTGGGGGGGGCTTTGGGCTGGCACCCCTAGGAGCCTTCTGGGACTGGGGGACCCCTCAGCCCCCCATCCCCCATAGCATCACCAATGTGGTTCTGGGGGGCTCCTCATTCCCCTCTATCTTACATGGCATCACTGATGTGCTGTGGGGAGACCCCACAGCTCCCCATCTCCCCATAGCATCACCTGTGTGGTACTGGGGGACCCCTCAGCCCCCCATCCCCCATAGCATCACCTGTGTGATATTGGGGGACACCTCAGCCCCCCATCCCCCCATAGCATCACCTGTGTGATATTGGGGGACACCTCAGCCCCCCATCCCCCCATAGCATCACTGATATGGTTCTGGGGGACCCCTCATTCCCCTCCATCTTACATGGCATCACTGATGTGGTGTGGGGAGACCCCACAGCTCCCCATCTCCCCATAGCATCACCTGTGTGGTAGTGGCGGATCCCTCCACCCTATA